ATTCTGATTTTTGAAAAACAATCTATAATAACAACAAGCTCACCTACGTATGTGTAGAGGAACGTCTTTTCCCACGTTTTCATTCATTAAAGGCTTCAGCATCCACGTGTAGCGTTTCTTCAGCCAGCGTTCAACAGTAGCAGCCTTTATTACATAGTGAGGTACATTTAAAGATAAGTGGCCTGGTAGGTTATTTCTGGTCATTGATGTTTTTTGTTGTTGGAAAGTCATTATTTTTCTAGCATTGACTTTTTGCCTTGTTATGGACTGAGGTGATGGCGTCGGTTGATTTGAACATTGATCCTGATTGGTCGACTGCTTCCCCGCGTCTGTCCAACTCATCCAGTTAAAATGCTGATTGACAGTTTTTCTGTGTTCACACGGTTTCCATCTGTCCTTAAAACAAACATTTATACACGATATAATATATTTAAAATGGCTCAAATAAGAACGTAAGGTGAGTTGAATACTTTTCTGAGTGCTGTATATTTTACTTAAAAGCCTTCACATTTGGTATACGCACATTTCTTTAGGGTTTTCCACACATTTTCACCGTGTGTGCAGTCTAACAGCTTTGGCGCCCTCTAGTGGTTATATTTTCGTAGCGCAACCGCCGTAACAAAACAAGTCTTAACGAAAGCAAATAGATAACTAAATTATGCATAGTTCACAGTGTGGTAATTCGCTGGGTGTACGAGTTTTTTCACAATCAATATTGAAATCATTTACACAGCCTCTACTGGATAAGCACAGTCCTCTTGTGCTAGGAGCCTTTTTAAGATCTGTGTCCAAACACCATGTAATTTTATTGAAATGCCATATTGTTACATTATACAACATCATTTGACCTCTTTCTGTACATGCCTGCTTTGCCTTTGCCCGGAGAGCTTTTAGCACAATTATTTTTAATATGATCTTGAATATCTTCGTTGTGGATAAAGTGAGTGAGAGACTTTTAAAAGAAAAGATAAAATCTAGCGTGGACTCTGAAGAGATTACACGGTAATATTGCATGAATGTGGGATTGAATACAGTAATTCCTTGATGATCTGAACCAAAAACTCATCTTACTTCTGGGTAGGAGGTAAAAGGCCTAAAAGATTTCGGTGGGGGGGAAACATGTTTATTTTGCTCACTTTTCCATGTTAAAACCCTCTTGTAGTAGTCATCCTTTCATTTTGATGTTGATCAAAACAAACAAGTTGCTGTAAGTGCTTTTTCTTTCTTTAATACCAAAAGTATGATTTATGACCTGAAAATAATCATATTTTGAGGTTAAGCTGTTGCAAAACTATATAGGCTTGGTGTCATAGACATGTTTGTTAATTATTACCACTACTGATATGTAAAATATAAGTTCTCCCTGCGTACATATTGGTTTCCTCCGGGTGCTCTGGTTTTGGAATTAACTAAATTGGCCATAGTGTGTTTTTGTGTAAATGAGTGTGTATGTAAACCCAGTACTGGGTTGCAGCTTGAAAGGCATGCACTGTGTGAAACTTATCCTGGATAAATTGGCAGTTCATTCCGCTGTGGCGACCCCTAACAGATAAAGAGACTAAGCCGAAGGAAAATGATTGAATGTATAAAATATAAATACATACATTCATTTAACATTCATCTATAATGTCTGGGGCATGTGGTCACACATTTATTTGCTTATTTTTTTGTTGTAACTACTCTTATTTGAAACAATAATTGTTTAAATAATAAATTTAGTTAATGAAATACATTTATTTGTTTGTACTACTCTTTAAATCATAAAAATATCAATTAATTCATACATTCATTCGTATTCATGGGTCTGAATGTTATCACACTTTTTTGTTATTGTTACATTTTTCCACACTTAATTTTAAACTTAATTTTATGTATTTATTAAAGTAGTATATACGGTGGGTACAGAGAGTATTTAGACCCCCTTCAATTTTTCCAGTTCTGTCAGGTTGGATGGTAAACATTGGTGGATTGCCATTTTTAGGTCTCTCCAGAGATGCTCCATTGGGTGTAATTCAGGGCTCTGGCTGGGCCCTTCAAAAACAGTCGGAATTGTTGTGAAGGTGAAACAATGAAGGTGAAAAGGACTAGGTGAAACAAATATAAAAATACCTATTAACAAATAAAATATTCATCAAATAAATACATAAACAACAACAAAATGTGTATAATCTTTTTACATTTTCATTTTAATTATATATAACTAAAATTAAAATGTAAAAAGGAAATATAAAATTATATTTTACTGAAATAATTGATTAGCAATCTTTTGCCTCAAGATAAATTAACTAAAATATAATTAACAATATTTGACTTTAATTTGCCACAATAAAAAAGTGTAACAACTAAACTCTTTTTCGATTGCTACTACCACATTATCTCCATCATCATAATAACATAATAGTGTCTTCTTTTCTCCTCATTTTTCCACTGTCATTTATAATAAGCCCTGATATGCTTTCATCTACTCATCCATCTCTATCCTCTCTTTTGCCCTCAGTGACCTCTGACCCCCCCAGTCCCTGCAGCTTTTAAAAAGCATCTGATGTATCTCTACCTGCTGCACAATCCCACATTCCCTCTATCAGCACTGCCAGCTGCGCCGCACTCACCATGTAATCTGGAATGTTGCGGATTATGAAGATCTTCCTCACCCCCAGTCATTCTCTCTCTCTCTCTCTCTCTCTCTCTCTCTCTCTCTCTGCCAGAACAGTCACTTGCAGAACAAGGGTGATTAGAGTCTGTCACAAGGCAAAACGAGGATGTCAAATAATATGGGAAAGGCAGGGGGAGGGAAAAACGTGCAGAACATTAGGATTAAAGAGAGCTTAAAAAAACCTAGAAAAACCAACAGATTGTTCACTTTCAAATTAAGGCGATACCGCGTAAGAGGTGGTACCTTTTCATAAGGTATGTCCATATCAGAACCTTAAAAGTATCATTTTAAAGGGATATTTTATCCAAACACTATAAAAGTGAATGGTTACCGGTTTTCAGCATTTTTCTTATCTTCTTTTTTTTCCTTAATTTTAAAGGGTTTTTTGTCACCAACAACTGAATCATTTGCTCACCCTTCAATAGTCACAATGCTGTTTGAGTTTCTTCTTCTGTTGAACACAAATGAAGACATTTAGAATAATTCTGAAAACCGGTAACCATATGGAAAAGGCAGGGGGAGGGAAAAACGTGCAGAACTTCAGGATTAAAGAGCGCTCAGAAAACCCTGGAAAAACCAACAGATTGTTCACTTTCAAAACATAAAGGCGATTTAAACTAAGGTGGTACCTTTTAACAAGGTTTAAAATTTGAAAACTACATTTTAAAGGCATATTTCAAACATCATAGAAGTGAATGGTTAACAGGTTCCAGCATTTTTTTAACTATCTTCTTTTATTTTCTCTTCATTTTAAAGGGTTTTCACCCACAACTGAATCATTTGCTCACCCTTCAATAGGCACAAAGCTGTTTGAGTTTCTTCTTCAATTGAACACAAAAGAAGATATTTAGAAAAATGCTGAAAACCGGTAACCATTGACTTCCATAATGTCTGTTTTTCCTTCTATGAAAGTCAACGGTTACCAATTTTATAACATTCTTCAAAATATCTTCTTTAGTGTTCAACAGAATTAAAAAACTCAAAAAATGTTTGCAATCACTTAAGGGGAAAGTAGTAGTGAGTCGATTTTCATTTTAGGGTGAACTATCCCTTTCAAAAGCACTAAAGTGTAGCTTTTTATGGGTTGGAGTGAAATGTTCATACAGTATTTGTTTTATTATAGTTAGGTCAGATAACATTACTTGCCCATTTAAAAAAATAATAAAATAGTTTTTTGATAGATGAAAGCCAATGGTTACCAATTTCTAACAATATTCAAAACATCTTCTTATCTAAGTGTAAAATCTAAGTGTTCAACAAAATAAAGAAACTCAGAAATGTTTGTTAGCAATCGACTTCTACAGTGTTTGTTTTTTCTTCGATGGAAGTCCGTGGCTACAGATATCTAACATTCTTCAAAATATCTTCTTTATTGTCAGCAGAATAAAGAAATTCATGAATGTTTGCAATCACTTAAGGGAAAGTAAATAGTCAATTTTCATTTTTAGGCAAACTATCCTTTTCAAAAGTACTAAAGTGTAACTTTTTATGGGTTTGAGTAAAATTTTCATATTTGTTTTATCATATAAAGGTCTGATAACATTATTTGCCCAATTAAAAAAATGAAAATAAAAGGTATGTCCATATCGGCACCTAAAAACTACATTTCAAAGGGATGTTTCACTCAAATTTGAATCATTTACTCACCATTCAATAGCACAAAACTGTTTGAGTTTGTTCTTAAGTTGAACACAAAAGGAGATATTTTGAAGAATGTTAGAAATTGGTAACCATTGACTTCCAAAGTATTTGTTATTCTTCTATGGAAGTCCTCAATGGTTAGCGATTTCTAACACCCTTAAAAATATCTTCTTTATTAACAGAATAAAAAAACGCATAAAGAAAATAAATGTTTGCAGTCACTTAAGTGAAAGTATATAGTGGGTCATTTTTAATTTTAGAGTGAACTATCCGTTTAAAAAGTACTAAAGTGTAGCTTTTTATGGGTTCGAGTAATGTGTTAATATTTGTTTTATTATATAAAGGTCTGATAACATTACGCGCCCATTTTAAAAATAAAAAATTGTGATTTTAATAATCTGTCATCTTTTTCTAAAGTTAAATCATTAGTATTTTGTTGTCTAAAGATGAATATAAAGTTAAAGGTAGTGGCCCAGTTTTTGTGCTTTTATTTCTGAGGCTGTCGTGACTGTGCTGGTGGTATTAACATCGCCACCCATCAAGCCCATAACTCTGCCCCCTGTTGAGATATTCTGACGGTGGGGATGGAGTTTATGTAATAATCTGGGGACAGGAACGAAGAGTGACTGATAAAGAGAGAAAGGGGAGGGACAGGGGGAGGAGCCCAGATAACAAGAAAGAGTTGCAGCAGTGGAGAATTAGAGAAATACAAATGATGGGAACGAAACCATCTAAAAGAGGCAGTATGAAGAAGGTAAGAGATATGCTTTTGAATTATTATTTTTAGATTAGGTTTGAAGCTGTAGAGCAGTGATGTAGCAAATTGCTGGAAATTATGTATGCTTATACTTGGCCTCTAAAATGGTCAACTAATTGATTGTGTAAACTAGTAACAGGATTTATTATAATGTGCCAACTTAAAAGGACAGTTCACCCAACAATGTAAAAAAAATACACTGCCGCTAAAAAGTTTTGGGGTTAGACAGATATTTTACTTGTTTTTGAAAGATGTGTCATGTATGTTTGATTTACCTAAAAAGTGATTTCCTGAAAATTTCAATCACAAATATTGTCATTTAGTGCTTTTTTGGTCATAAAACAATCAGAATAACAAATGTATTGTTTATTGTGAATGCAAATCAGGGTAATTCCACCACAATTCTACTGTTAAAATAAAGTAAAATGTATTAATTAATTAAATACATGATTTATACAAGTTTGAATCTATTTGGTCACACTTTACAATGAGGTTTCATTAGTTAATGTATTTACTAACATGAGCTAATTACGAACAATTTACTAATCATGGTTCAACATTAAATAATGCATAATTGACAGCCACATTAGTTAATGCACTGTGAGTTTTTTTATTAACTAACATGAATAAATATGGTAATAAATATCGTTCATTGTTTGTTCATGTTAGTAAATGCATTAACTAATAACCATTATTGTAACATTTTTCCATTTAAAATGTATTACTGACCCCAAACTTTTAAGTGTGAGTGTATAAAACAATGTATTAAAACTGTCATCATTTACATACCATTATGTAGCTACAAACATGACTTTCTTTTATCCATGCCTATTTAAGTACAAGTTGCACTGTTCACATTACTGTCAAGCTAAAATTTTCTAATGAACAGGCAACAGCAACTTAAATATGAATTTAATGTTATTAGTGCCTAATTGTTATACAAGACCTCATATGGACTTTGAAGAAGCTTTAATTGTTTTATTGTTATCCGTTGCATGTTAGAGAACAGGTTGGACATTCTTCTAAACATCTCTTTTCGAGTTCCCCAAAAGAAAAGCAGAGATTGTTGTGGAGGAAGAGTGTTTCTTTAAAGTTCACCCCCCAAAAAACCTTTAACTCACTATCTACTCCAAAAATCTGTGCGTATCTTTATTCTGTTGAACACAAAAGAAGTGATTTTGAAGGTAGAAGAAAACTAGTAACCATTAACACCCATTGTAGGCAAAAAAATAAATTCAATGGAAGTATAATACATTCTTTGGTGAGCTTCACAGTGGCCCAGTGGGTAGCACGATCCCCTCACATCAAGAAGGTTGCTGGTTCAATCCTCGGCTGGGTCAGTTGGCATTTCTGTGTGGAGTTTGCATATTCTCCCCAAGTTTGCGTGGGTTTCCTCCGCTTGCGTTACCCAACAGTTTAACGATATGCGCTATAGGGGAATTGGGTAAGCTAAAATTTCCATAGTGTATGTGGTTGCAGCTGGAAAGGCATCCGCTGCGTAAAACATATGCTGGATAAGTTGGCGGTTCATTACGCTGTGGCGACCTCAGATTGACAAAGAGACTAAGCCGAAAAAGAAAATGAATGAATGTATGAATAATATTATTTTGTGTTCAGCAGAAAAAAGAAAGTTAAACAGTTTATAAACTGGTGAATGATGACAGAACTCTCCGTTTTGGGTGAACTATCCCTTTAACTAGTTCTCAGGAATGTTTTGAAATTAGTCAGCATTAAACCTTATTGTCAGTCTGGGAACTTCTCTGGTACCTAATGAAATAGCTCCTTGTAAAGGGTGTCCCGCCCTTGGAGGGCAGTGGTCTGCCACTGGCACAGGCCATGCTAGGAGGCAGTGGCGACGCGGCAGCTGAGGACGACGAGGATGAAGAGTTGAGGGAAGGAAAGCAATTTGAGGAGCCCATATGTGCTCTGGTTCAGAACTGCACCATGTTGCACAACATTGTGGGCCCGGCCTGCATCTTCCTGCGACAAAGCTTCGTTCAGGCTCAACTCGTATGTACTTTCTTAGTCAGTCACAATTTACATTATATAATCACTGTGTGTCTTTACATCTTCAATCAAATCATCACAACCTGTCTTCCCATCACTCCTTATTAAGTCTGATCACACATATATCTTCTATTGTAAATGGATGCCGCTGTATCACATGATTCATTCTTGGTTACAAAAGTCAAAGTCAGATGAGTTCTTATGTGGCCACATTTGTTAAGAATGCATAACTGAAGCAGCACTTCACATTAAAGTGATATTCATATGTACAAATGCAGCACTATTAATGTACATAACGTATTGTCTGATAGTGAGGCGGTTTTTTGGGGAGTGGAGAAATTAGTTGTTTTACGATTGCAATTTAGATCCAGCAGCCTATATTGATGGATAGGACTGACAAAGTATAATATCCTTCTGTTTCCAAGTATAGCACACATATATATATATATATATATATATATATATATATATATATATATATATATATATATATATATATATATTATTACTAACGGCATTGATTTATATATGCCATTAGTATAATGTCTTTTTCACTCTGTAAAACCTCATATGTCTTAATGAGCAGGGAAATGTCTGGATTGATGGCGATAAAAAATACCAGAAAAGCCTGAAGAAAAAAAGTGTGCAACTGTGTAGTTTCTTAGAAGCCTAATGTTTAATATCAATGTCTATCTGTCTTGATAATCCCAGAATTGATTTATTTATTTATTTATTTTTGTCTCTAAACCGTAGAAACTGATGCAGAGCCGTAGAAACTGATGCAAAAACAAACCCGATATAAATATTCCCTGGAATTCTTTGTGACATATTTATTTAGCTAAATCCCTTTTTCTCAAACAATATCACTAAGTAATATTCTATATAGGTCTTATCTGCTTAGTTGGTCAGGGATGTGCTGTACCAGCCTGTTCTCATTGTTAATACCTATAATACTTATGTACTGTATGAGCGACAGCTATAGGAACAGTGTTATAATATTTGGTACAGTTTTATTACTATTTATTTAAGGAGAAACATTTACGAATAGTTTAAATCTTGAGGATACTTATCAATGCACTTTTATTATTTTAGTAATAAAAGATGTCTTATTGTTAGCTTAATCATTTTACGGTGAAGACTTGCCAAAATGTGCAAGGAAATTATATTTTTAGTGACAGCATAGTATTAAAAAATACATTTTAAAGTGGATAATCCCACTATTACTTCTAAACATGCAACATAAAGTGAGTCATAAAACATGTTTGAAAATTAAAAATGTTTCTAATAAGTCTAGTCATTACTAAATATGCAAATAATATTAGTTTTCGATGTCAGTAGCCAGTTAACAAGAAAAATGAAATATTCAGACTATTCTGAAACGTTCTTTTAAAGTTATGTAAAATGTTAGCATGTAACGTTATTAAAACAATGTTTTTGGAACATAGTAAAACATACTTATACCATTAATATAATGTGAATGCAATGTTCTAATAACGTTTTAAGTAACTTTCTGAGATATAGAATATAATATATATAATAATATAACATGAGAATAAAATGTTAGCATGTAATGCTATTAAAATAATGTCTTTGGAACATTCTTGTTAAAATACCTATAACATTAACATGATGTAAATGCAATGAACTAATAAGGTATTACTTTCTGAGATCAATAGTATAAAAGGGGATTAAAATGTTAGCATGTAACGCTATTGAAAAAAAGTGTTTTTAGAACAGTCTTTTAACATTGATAGTAAAACATGCTTAAAACGTTAATACAACGTGAATGCAATGTTCTAATAACATTTAAAGTAACTTTCTGAGATCAATAATATAACATGAGATTAAAGTATTGCACGGAAAGCTATTAAAATGTTTTTGGAATGTTCTTGTTGACATACTTATAACATTAACATAATGTGAATGCAATGTTCTAATAATGTTTTACTTTCTGAGATCAATAATATAACATGAGATTAAAATGTTAGTATGTAACACTCTAAAAAAAATTTTTTAGCATTATTGTAACGTTGATTGAAAAACATACTTACAGTATATTAATATAACATAAATACAATGTTCCAATACCATTTTAAGTAACTTTAAGATCAATAATATAACATGAGATTAAAATGTTTGCATGTAAAGCTATTAAAATAACGCTTTTTGGAACATTCTTGTAACGTTGATAAGAAAAACATGCTCATAACATTAATATAACGTGAATGCAATTGTTCTAATAACATAACTTTCCGAGATCAATAATTAACATGACAATAAATGTTTGCATGTAAAGCAATTAAAATAATGTTTTTGGAATGTTGTTGTTAACATATAACAATAACATAAAGTGAATGCAATGGTCTAATAACGTTTTACTTTCTGAGATCAATAATATAGCATAAGATTGGAATGTTAGCATGTAATACTATTAAAATTTTTTGGAACATTCTTGTAACTTTCAATTGCTGATTGAAAAACATACAGTATAACATTATTATAACGTAAATACAATGTTCTAATAACATTTAAAGTAACTTTCTGAGAACAATTATATAACATGAGATTAAAATGTTAAGAAAACATTTTGAATAACATTATGATTACCAAAAAAATTATGTTAATACATTGTCAAAAATATGTTAATACATTGTTTTAAATGTTTCAATCCCTATAATGTTTTTTTTTCTTTACTTACTGAGAACATTATGAAAATGTTCTTAGAATATTGATATGGATGGAATTTTCTTAGAACGTTTTAAATAATGTTAAATGATGACATCACATGAAACAGAAACATCATGAAAATGTTTTGAAGAACATTAGCATAAAATCTTGATGTTTTAAACATCATTAGAACATTAAAAAGTAACGTTATATAAGTTAATGGGAGCGTATGGGGAACATTTTCAGAATCTAAAATTGTTGGCTGATACATCAATACTGTATGTTTAGATTAATCTTTATTACATAAATTGGTAAATATGTTCCAGTGGTGAGTGCATACCTGAATTTCACACACACACACACACAAAACACAATAATAAGTGAACTACATTTGACTCTATTTGTTGCCTGGCAATGCAGACTCTTGTAATCTGTTCACCATAGTGACCTTATCCTGCTGCTGCTTGCATCATGCTTGCCAATTCACACTAGTAATCAGCCTAAATACTGGCCAGCTGTGTGAATATGTTCTGTCTGACCACTGCCAAAACACAGGCTCAGTCGATCAGATCAAAATCTAAATCACTCCACCATTTGTTATTATCTTACTTATGTAATGTGTAAATGTTGATTCAGACTAGATTTCGTAGCACTGTATGTTCTTTTTTATGATGATGATAATGTTTTTAATGACTGACTTTCGCCATTTCCACGAACATGAATATCTGGCAATCCCACGTGTGTGTGCTTTTTCTGTCCTTGGACAAGATGTAATCCATAATATCATAACATTGTGGTTCTTGATCGCTTTTGCATGAAGACATGATATTATCAAAGGGTGATTACCAACGATGCTTATTATTATTATAAGGATATTTTACTCATCATAATTCTATGAAACACAGAGTTCAAATAATAGAAATATTTTATAATAAAAGTAGAAACATAAAATACATTTCCATACTGAAGTGAAGATTGGGACAGTGCGTAGATGAAAAAGTAGTTAAAGTATAGTATAAAAGTGGATTTTCTAGCATATGTGCAGGATTTCATTCATTTTCCTTTGGCTTAGTCTCTATTTCAGAGGTCACCTCAGTGGAATGAACTATTCCAGCATATGTTTTTTTCCCTTCCAGCTGCAACCAAGTATTGGGAAACATCCATACACACACACACACACACACTCATACACTACGGCCAATTTAGTTTATTCAATTCACTTATAGCGCATGTTTTAGGACTGCAAACTCCAGACTGATATGTCAAATGGTGATACTAGAGCCAGCACACTACTTGCTGTGAGGCAACAGTGCTAACCACTGAGCCACCATGCCGCACCATACCCTGTGCAGGATTTTTTTTCATCATGATGGTCATTCAGAATCAAATGAATCATTTCTTGGAACAGAGAAGATAAGTTTACACTGGCACTGATCCAGAGACAACAGTTGTTGTACCTAAAAAAAACTCTTTTTAGCCACACAGAAGACCTGCCGTTAGTTCTGTGTTACAAACATTCATATTTTCATATGGATACTGAATATCAGATTGGAAATACACACTGATGTCAACTGTAGTGCTAAAAAATAGAAAATTTCTTATAACTTATAAGACTTCTAAGTAACTCAAGGCCTCAATTGAATTGTGTCAATTTCACTAGGACTCCAGTAGGTGGTGACAACTACATTGTAAATTTTTTAAAAGCTTGCACATCGATATCAATTGGGTGCTCAGCCAAAACTAAAGTATGCAGGTATGAAAAAGTGGCCAAAAAAAAAACAAATGTATTCACTTTAAAAGGCTATCTCAGCGTGTATGATGTTTTGAGTATCTTAAGCTGATGAAGAGCCTGTGTGCTCGAAACGTTAAACACTGTGTGAATGAATAAATTTAATACTTTGGAACTTTTGGTGTTGCCCCCTTTTCATATATATTTGACAAGTACATTTTTAATTAAATTTCAGTGAATCATTCATTCATTTTTCGGCTTAGTCCTTTATTAGTCCCCAGCATATGTTTTAATCAGCGGATGGCCTTCCAGCCGCAACCCAGCTCTGGCAACCACCCATAAACACTCATTTACACACACACTCATACACTACGGCCAATTTAGTTCATCCCATTCACCTATAGCACATGTCTTTGGAGCAACCGGAGGAAACCAACACGAACAAGATAAAGACAAGATAAAAAATTATTAATCAAGAAAAAAAGGGTCTTTACGAGTGAGTCATTGAATCATTTGTTCAAAATCTATTTATTGTAATCTTTAATCTCTTTCCTGACTGTTAGCCTATTTTAAGTTGCCAATATTCAGAATCGGATTTTGTGATGAACAAGCAAATAAATGTATTCTCATTTCATCCCGAATAAAAGTTCTCCAGTTTCCCATCACTGGGAAATAGTCATACACTGCCAATCACACACATACACTATGAACAATTTAGCCTACCCAATTCCCCTATACCTATGTGGGGGAACCGGAGTTACCGTAGCTAACCCACACAAACACGGGGAGAACATGCAAACTCCACACAGAAATGCCAACTGACCCAGCCAAGACTCAAAAAAGCGACCTTGCTGTGAGGCCATCATGACGCCCAGTTTCATTCTCAGTTTAGTTTATTTACATATTTATTTTAGAGGGGAAGCTATATCAACAGCTTCGTTTATGAAATGAGAGAGTGAGTCTGTGACAGCCGGATGACCTAAAAATACCATGTTGAGTTACCCAGATGAGCCTGTGTTCTTATAGTGTGCTCCAAAACACAATACATTTTGGAGTGAAAACAATCATGGCTGCCATATTAAAGTGCCGCCACATCCAAACACAAGTGCTCACAACTGGCCTAAATGATGTAGATTTTAGACCCCCATGATTATTTGCAACAGGGATTTCAGTTGACAACTGAAAGCTCGGAGTTCAAATTTACCTAAAGATCTAGGCGTTGTGTACACAGCAAAATCCTTTGAGTAAAATTGACTCAGTTTCTTTTAAATTGAACACCTTCTTTTAATAAACAAAAACACAACAGAGAAACACAAAAGCATTAGATGAAATCAGCTGAAATACAGTAACAATTAACTCATAATACAGTGACTCTCTCAAAATCTCAGCAGAGGATCATTAAACAACTCCACAAAGAGCAGCTTTACTTATTACCAACCTGTTTCCCATTATTTAAAGAGGGACCAAATACTCTCTGAACTGAGTAAATGTGACTCAGAGGATTTTGCTGTGTAGAATTTTTCTACCTATTGCTGTAATAGTTATGAGTTATAAAATAAATCTAAATTATAGCGTCAACCAGCAGACAAAAAGTGGGACAGCCATCAAGATGGTCTCATTTTAGACTCAAAATAGCTTTTTTGACCCCTACACCCTTTATCCCTTCGAAGCTGTCACTCCAGAGAGTAATTTTGAAGGGATTAGGGTGTAAGGATGAGCCCTTCCGATAGTTTTTACTTACAGCATTCAGGGAATGACAAACCATGCACTGGATGATGCAATTGACCAATCAGAATCAAGTATTCCAGAATAGTTCGTTTTAATTTCAGGGAGACGTTAATTTTGTGTGTGGGCACTCTTTTTTCAAATGCAAAGCAGATAAAAACAAATGTTATCATACAGGATCATACTCTCATTCGATTTGTTCTGATAAATAATATAATTTCATATTTTATTATTATTCATTCAACTATTCATTTGGCTTAGTCCCTTTATTAGTCAGGGGTCTATTAATATTTATGTTATACTAAATATTGTATTATTTATTAATAAGTGTTGCATGTTCTTGTGTGTTTCTCTATGTATGTGCCTGTCTATATCTGTGTCTGTCCTAATAGTCTGTCTCTGCATGTCTCTTTGAAATCTGTACTCACTACAGGACAGAGATCTACGGCCAGAGGAAATTGAAGGTACAGAAATATCTGACATTATTAATATGTTTTTATGTCACACCGATTAACCCTCCCACCAATCAAAATATTGTAATTCCTACTTTTATTGACTTCTCTCCCTCCATCCACACCGATTCTTGCCATTAACTTGACGTATTTATCAATGTCTACCTTCAGTCTCCTCTAAATCCTTCAGTCATATGCACTGAATGGATAAATGACCAATATAATTAAATGATTTTGTTGATTCTGTGAAACAAAAAACGAGAACTTCCAGTTTTCTCAGCATTTTAAAAGATTATTTTCACCAAAAAAGAATTAAAATGAGTATTTACAGATATTTTGGATGAAATCTGAGAGATGTCGTACACTAAAAAATATGCATAAATTGGCAGTTTTTTGTATTTTGTGATTTATGTTTTTATTTTTCCTGTTTATTTATGTTTTTTATTTAGGCTTCATGATCTTGATCTTTCTTCCAACAACTTTTAACCTTCAAAAGATTGAAAAAGTGACTTTTATTAACATTTTTAATTGTTTAAAATGATATATTGTCTGGGTTGGTGTTGTTTATTATGGTACAAAAACCTTGCAATAAACTGCCAGTACATTTCCTGTTTTTTTCCAGAGACTTGGTTTTCTATATATTTCAAACTACTAAAATGTTAATAAAAGTCACTTTGGTAAACTGTAGAGTTGAATTTTCAGCATCAAAAGTCATCAGAGCAGAAATCAAGCTCCCATAATGCAATTCACAACCGTAAATGAACAGAAACCCTTGTGAATCACAAAATATGGAAATTAAGAGTTAAAAAAGAGTCTAGAAAAGGAACCAAAAACATTTCACGTGACTTCAGTGGTTTAACTGTAATCATACAAAGCTCCAAGAACACTTTTGTGAGGCAAAAAAACTGTAAAAACGACAAAGTACGTTTACATGGACACCAATAACTCAATTTTAATATGATTAAGACAATACTCTGATTAAGAGTCTACCGTGTAAATAGCGAATTTTGATTACCATAATCCGACTAAAGTCATAATCCAACTAAACAGAAATGGAATTAAGACATGTGGAGTGTGCCCATTTTGGTCATATTATTAAAGTGCAATACAGACATGTAAACACCTTAATCAAACTATTACCTTTTTTGCTTTAAAATATTCTATACACACACGGTTGTGTGACACTATTCTGTGCACCTAGTCACTAAAAGACCAGACACCTGCATCATGAAATGTGGAGGTTTTTTCCATACAGCATGCTGTATAAAATTCTATTAAAACAGCACATTGTCACCATTTGTGGTCTACACAAGAAAAACATAACATTGGCTACTTTGCATAAGTGTGAATAATGTTTACCAACTATTCATTCTGCAAATGATTTTAGCGGTTACTGTACCGTTTTCCTTCAGAATCCTCTTAGTGACAGATTACACAGCATGCTGTCTTACTCTCAGATTGTGTTTTCTGCCCTCAGAGCTGAAAGAAGCTTTCCGAGAGTTTGACAAAGATAAAGACGGCTTCATTAGCTGTAAGGATCTGGGCGAGTGCATGAGGACGATGGGCTACATGCCTACAGAAATGGAGCTGATTGAACTTAGTCAGCAGATTTGTAAGTGACAAACTTATCTTATGAGTGTTTTTCTAAAGGACATAATTCATATCTGAACTACTCGTGTTGACAATACTGTCGTTTGTTTGTGCACTAGGTGGCGGAAGAGTGGACTTTGAGGACTTTGTAGACCTGATGGGACCAAAGATGCTGGCTGAAACGGCAGATATGATTGGAGTGAAAGAACTCAGAGATGCTTTTAGAGAGGTACTGTCGCTGTTTAATGCTCACAATAACTGTGTTTGTAATTAATTAACCCTTTATAATAACAATGTTCACTTTCAGTGTGATTTTTAAATGTTTTTGAAGATTTTTTCTATCGCTCACCAAGACTGCATTCATTTGTTTAATGCTGTAAAAATTGTGAAACTATTGTGAAACTGTATTGCAATATAAAATCACCTAACAATTAAAATTTAATAACAAATGTTTTTTAATGTAATACGTATATAGGCTATTCATGTTCCAAACTTTAAGGAGCAATTAGCTTTACATAATCCTCCAGAAATTTTTCCAAAATCCAAAATGTTTCTAATATGCTGATTTGACAGTAAAAATGGGTGGTAAATAAATTGATGGTGAAATCCTATTACTAATATTGAATGCTTTTAATTTTAAGTTAATGTTGACGTGTGCAAAATCGACTTGTCCTGTTGTCAAAAGTAACACATATAGTACATAATGTACACATAGTGTAGAAGGACTTTACGATATTGGAAAAATCTGACATTGCGATATTAAGTTTTTCTGCAATGTCTATGCTAATATGAATACAATTTCACCAGGCCACTTGAATAGCTCTAGTTTGAAAGAATTCATTAATTTAGATTGATTAGGATGATTCTGTCAGGGTGTCCATCTGCAATATAATAAATGATCTACAAATAGGGCTGGGCCGATAAATGATATTATATCGAATCGCAATAAAATTTATGTCAAAAGCAATGATAAGATCTGGACATTTTTACTCTATATTGATCTAAGACCTTTTCAAATGTGCAACAATGGGAATCTAAAAGCGTGTTAATATGGAATTTTCGGCCACCGAGATGTAGAGATTTGAGATGTATCAAATTTTCGAGATTTATCGAATTCGATACATTTAAGATGTATCAAATTTTCGGCCACCGAAAATTTATCGGCTGAAAATATGTTATGCCACTTACTGGACCCTCCTAATTTTTGAGACTTCAGTCATTGCTGGGGTACTCTTTTAAATCTGGAAGCATTATCAACTAATATCAAAATATATAGCGTTATCATTCAATATGGAAAATAACTATCGAAATTGCATTTTAGCCATATCGCCCAGCCCTATCTACAAGCATAAAAGTGCAATAGAGCTAAAGATACAAATAAAATAAACAGTGTTTGTTGGTCAAAGGGTACTCAGATTATAACGAAGCAAACAATTGTAAAATTGTACTGTATAGTCTTCACTGTGAAAAATAATTAAATAAAATTAATTGCTATTAAAGTTACAAATTGTCCAATTTCTTATGCCCAATGCTTTTAAAACTTACCATTGTTGCCAACTTTGTACTTAACACACTTTTTTAGCACAGTGTGTCATATTCAGGTGTCTATTAGACTATAAAATCTATATTAAAATCAAATTTTTACAAAAGCTACAAATAAGTTTAGTTGCCTACACTGTTGCCAGATCTTCACACATCACATTAATGTTCTGTAATCTCTGGGATGTCTTTCTCTCAGTTTGACTCCAATGGTGACGGTCAGATCAGTCTGGCTGAACTGAGGGAAGCCATGAAGAAGCTGATGGGAGAGCAGCTCAACCACAGAGAGATTGATGAGATCCTCAGGGATGTGGACCTCAATGGAGACGGCCTAGTTGACTTTGAAGGTTAGATTTTTACTTTTTTTCTTCAAGCTCTCGAATTTTAAACAGATTCTTGCATATTCATTTCATAGACATCAGAACCATCATTTTAATACAGTTAAGTCATCTTGCTTTTGGAGATGAACATGATACATGATGATATGATGATGCCTATAGCGTGCCTTAAAATGAAAAAAATGTGTGTATTTTTACCTGTCAGTATTTGAGCTTCTGTCCTCTGTTGAATACAAACACAATATTTTATTTTGAAGAAGGTTGGAAATTAGCTATTGACATAAAAAAAATTCTACTATGGATATCAGTGGCTAGTTTCCAACATTCGTCAAAGTATCTTCATTTGTAACCACTTGAAGGGGAGTAAATGAAGAAGCACATTTTCAGGTGAACTGTCTCTTTAAAATTCAAGATACTGAGGTAAATTGCACCTAGAAGGTTTTGTCTGACATTTTATCATATGATGTGAATTAAACAACTTCACACGAGCTGTTTTATTCCTGAATAGCAAAAGTGCAAATGTGATATTGATTCTGTACAACAGTAAATAACAATAATGTTTTGCCTAAAAATGAAATTGGAAATAGAGCCATTCATTTGATTTCTTAATGAATCATTGATTTGAATGGCTAAATGACGGATCATCGTATATTTACCGCCACCTAGTGGCAGTTTCAGTTTCCTATTTAGAGTTTAACGTTATTAAATAATGATAAAAATAACTCAAGCTTAATTCGACCAAAAAGCTAAATTCTGTCATCAATTACTCATCTTACAGTTGTTTCAAACTGGTTCAAACGTTCTGAAACAAAATTCATGACCGTTGTAAAATGAGCTATAACGTTAGCCTGTCAATTTTTTTTTTTATAATATTCGACACCCTGGAAGTGAAACAAAGGCGTATCTGCTCGTATAAAGCTGAAGAATCACTTTGAGGCTGTATCTAAATGATTAACGAGGGAAAACTGTTCTACTTTACATCAAACTGACCTGTTTTTCTTCTTTCCTTCACAGAGTTTGTCCGAATGATGTCTCGCTAATTATGAGGACGCGCGAAAAAGGAAGACAACAAGCACTTTGCCAACTCCTACTGTGAAGAGTGAAATATGCGTCTCCTACTTTAAATTACCCAACAATTAATGTTCTTTCTAAAAAATATCAAAAAGACGTCCAAACACAGACATCTGGGCTAAAATAGATAGACTTCCCACGTGTAGTCATTCATTCATGTCTATTTGATGGCTAGTTTATTTTTGTATAATTATATGTCGATTAGGTTTTCACTGACAGCCCATATTTAGCCTTATTTTAGCCCAGATGTCTATATTTGTAGGATACTTAAAAAATATATAATAAATTATATTTCTCTATTAAAAACTTCATACTCCACACGTTTGCTTTTATGAAGAAAACAGTTTTCTAATAATTATAATTTATTAAACATTTGGTATTCAATTTTACCAACCATAACTAAAAAAGAGCAAATTAAACCAGACCAAAGAACACGCACACACACACATACACACACACACACACACACACACACAAACACACACACACACAAGAACTGTAAGAGTACCAATCTGTAAAACACATTACCCATAAAATCATGCTATAAAAAACTGGACAATAACATTCACTACTGAAAGATGCATATGAGATCGAATGTACATGATTTTTAAGTCAGCAGCTGATATGAATTAGTATTATGTGTGTTTTGGACAGTAAACCACTGGCTAATGGATCTAGAGTTCCTGGATGAGGCTTTTAGGACTGTGTTAATAGCTTTCCCTAAGGGAACGGGATATTAGCATGCAAAACTGGAAGGGTTTAGAGTTATTGAACACAACTGCCTGGAGATCCCTATGTTTCTGACTGTTTCTGATCTCTCCTTGCTGACGTCTGTGTTTAAACCGATGTTTCTTTTTCTTACTATATATGTTCTTGAAAACAACAGTAAAAAGACTTTAATATTTTTATTGTTATTTCTGTACACGTAAAGATTGTATATATTCAACAAGGTATTAAATTAAATGAAAATCATTACAATTGACTCTTGAGTTTATGACTGCATCTCTAAAAAACACTTTCATGGTAAAAACACACAATAATTACAATTCTTAAAGGGGTAGTCCACTCACCAAAAATAAAAAATTTCTTCGTTTACTAACCCTTCACTCATCACAAAACCTGAACACAAAAGAAGATACACTGGTAACCATTGACTTCCATAGTGTTTGTTTTTCATACAATGGAAGTCAATGGTTACAGGTTTCCAACATTCTTCAAAATATATTCTTTTGCGTTCAACAGAAAAGAAGGATCCACTTAAGGGGTCCAATTGAGAATAAACAGTGAGTAAATTTTTGGGTGAACATTCCCTTTAATATTTTCCCTTTGTCACCTACCAAAGCTATAAGGCCTATATAGAATTGCATAATCATTTGCATATTCAAGTACTGTGGTTTAATTTAATACATGGATGTTTCCTGTATTGACGCTTCCAAAGTCCTAGAATTCTCTCTGTGTTTTGCCAGTTCTCTGCAGTGGAGAAACACGTAGACTGGATGAATGAAGGCCAGTAGAGTCAGGATAGTCAATAAGATGTTCACCTAAAGAAATAAAAACAGTACCATTCACAGATTACAAATAAACTGAGGAGAGGCAAGTTTTTAATTATGGTCTAATTAGATTTGAGAGGGGATTCTGCAGGATTCAGGAAGGCAAAATTGACATTTTTTGTGACCAAAAGAGAAAAAACTGAGGGAAACACAATCATCTACCACTCACAATCTACGCCAATATAAAACTGATCAATAACAAGAAAACTGAATTAATTCATAAGTAATTTTTAAGTATAAGGTCACTTTATTTTGTTCGGTTTCTCAGGGGGAAAAGTTAATACTTAAATCCTTCATTTTGCATCTTTAGTTAGTTAGTTAGTTAGTTAGTTAGTTAGTTTATTTATATAGCACAAATTTTTACAACACATTGCCCAAAGTGCTAAACACAATCAATACTAATGAAAATAATAAGTCATACCGCACATACATAAAAATTAAAACATAAGACAAAACCCTCAACAAAGACTCAAATGCTAACAAACATAGATGCAAAAGTTTTTGAAAACAGAAAGAGATGGAAAATGTCTAATGTTTGGTGGAAGCTTCTTCCAATATTTTGGGGGTGATTTACACCGGGACCTCGATACAGAAAGAATAAACTGATCAGATGACCTTAGTGACCTACCAGGATTGGATACACGTATGATATCTGATTAATGGGATGGTGCCAGACCATTTAGGGATTTATAAACAAACATTAATCATTTAAAATCCGTGAGCTAACAAGCAGCCAGCCCAGAGAGAAAAGAACTGGGGATATTTGTTCATGCTTGTCTTAAGTCTGTTTAATTTAATGCAAAGTATATTGAAAATGTGTAACCTAATTCCTTAAGTTTAATGTAATGTAATGCAAGTTACAACAGCTCTTTCTTTTTTTCACACAGTGCGCCTAAGCTTTGGACTGAACTCCCCATTAGCATTAGGAATGCTGCCTCTCTGGACTGTTTTAAGAAATTTCTTAGGACTCACCTTTTTAGCTTTGCTTTTAATTTAGGATGATAATTTTGTTTAAATTTTTATTTCTATCTTATGGTTCATATTTTTATTGTTTTATTGCATCTTTTAATGTTGTGCTGTTTTGCTTGCATTGTGTTTTAGTGTTTTGCCTGTAGCGCTTTGAGTATAAGAAAAGCGCATTACAAATAAAATGTATTATTATTATTTTCTAGTTGATAAAGGGGTGTAAGAATAGTAGATTTACATAGAGTGGGTCTCCTCCAAGAGCTTTGTTGAGGGCGAAGCAGGGATACTGAAGCAATGACACCACAGCTGATAAAGACATCACCAGACCGTACAGCTTCCCAAAATGTCTGGCAGGAAACCTGTGAATTTAAGATGCCAGTCAAGAGACAATTTAGATAACTTCATTCATTAATTTTCTTTTCGGCTTAGTCCCTTTATTAATCTGGGGTCGCCACAGCAGAATAAACTCCCATAATTTAGATATTTAAAGAGGTCCTATTATAATCTTATACTATCACTGTTTAATGACGTCATGTTCCGGGAAAACAGAAACTGTTAGGTGGATTTCGGTCACAGTAACTTTTATTTTCTAGTTTTGTTCAGAGAATTATGCATTGATAATTAAGCACTGGTTAAGACTGTATTAACACAACTCTTGCCTAGGCAACAAATCCCATCAAAACTTAGCAGTTGATTCAATAAAACAACATTTCGTTACCTTAAAATTAAAAGGTTCTTTATGACATTTTTGTCAAAATTGAGTTATTGCCATATTCTTATTTAATGACAACTTATTTGCATTATGGGATTTTTTTTATAAGTTGTTTTCATTTTAATACTTTTTTATTTAAAAACAAATGTTACACACATCCTGTTTGCTATATGGAATGCAAAAACTTTGAAGCTTAATATCTCAAAATCATCCAGAACGCAGAGAGAATCTTATAATTCCAAGGTGACAATTTGTTTTGGAATGCAGACATTTAAATACACATGTAGTGGAAAAACTAAGTATTCATGGCTTGTCAAATACATGCTGATGTAAATGGAGGCAGCAATGATAATTATTTTCACATAAACTTACGATGTGTTATTCACAACCGATAACAGATACACAGTTAACCAAATACGCTTGTTCTTCTCCAAGTTACCTTCATGTATTTTGAGAGAAGTTGATAAGTTTGCATGTTGTAAATCCAGCAGCTCTAATCTAACTAACATAGCAGCTCCCATCAGCCGTCATAGATCAGATAATATGATCTTTATTGTGATGTTCGATAAAAGGTGTTGTTACGCGTATTTAAGAATCGGAGTATCAAATATATACCACTATAATCAATCTGAGCCAAAACAGTTGGTCAAGAGGATCGTACAGAACTTTTGCATGCAGCAAGATAAATCAAAGTGCATTTGGGCTACTTTGTGACATCATAAATCCTGGAAAACAATGCTTGTACTTCAAACAAGCCATTTGTTGTAGTTCTTAAAAATAGAAATATTCAAAACAATATACACTCACCGGCAGACGAAGAAGTGGCGCAGTAGGTAGTGCTATCGCCTCACAGCAAGAAGGTCGCTGGGTCGCTTGTTCGAGCCTCGTCTCAGTTAGCGTTTCTGTGTGGAGTTTGCATGTTCTCCCTGCGTACGCGTGGGTTTCCTCCAGGTGCTCTGGTTTACCCCACAGTCCAAAGACATGCAGTACAGGTGAATTACATAGGCTAAATTATCCAAAGTGTATGAGTGTGTGTGTGAATGTGTGTGCGGATGTTTCCCAGAGATGGGTTGCGGCTGGAAGGGCATCTGCTGTGTAAAAACTTGCTGGATAAGTTGGCGGTTCATTACGCTGTGGCGACCCCAGATTAATAAAGGGACTAAGCCGACAAGAAAATGAATGAATGACACTCACCGGCCACTTTATTAGGTACACCTTACTAGTACCAGGTAGGACTCCTTTTTGCTTTCAGAACTGCCATTCTCTGTAAACCCTAGAGATGGCTGTGCGTGAAAATCCCAGTAGTTTTTGAAATACTCAGACCAGCCTTTCTGGCACCAACAACCATGCCACATTTAAAGTCACTTAAATCACCTTTATTCCTCATTCTGATGCTCAAATTGAACTGCAGCAGATTGTGTCTACAAGCCTAAACGCACTGAGCTGCTGCCATGCGATTGGCTGATTAGAAATTGGCGTTAACGAGCTGTTGGACAGGTGTACCTAATAAAGTGGCTGGTAAGTGTATCACCCTTTAGAGTGGACTTGGAGATTTGTAACCTTGTAGATCTTTTTAATGTCCAAACATACACACTGCAGACTGACTAATATTTAAAAAGTGGAAAAATCATCATAGGACCCCTTTAAGTCAACCATTTACTTACGCAATGCTGATGAACGCAGCATTCCCTCCGTAAAGGAAAGATCGGTTAAGGACCTGCAGGATGAATGTGAGGTATTGGAGAGGGAGGAACGGGATGCTTGCACAGATGGAGAACAAGAAACACTGCAGAGAAGTGAGGAGCAGAGAAAGGATGGACGAGCGCAGGTCTGCTTCCCGTTCTGATACATCTAGAAAAAAAGATGGGGGTGAGAACTAAAGGTTTGCATTTAATGTCAAATTTTCCTATTTTGCGTCGACTGACCTGGATCTAGGGGTTTTCTTTTGTGTCTGTCCATTAGCAGGCCATTCCAGGGAGCGCAGAGGACCCCACAGAACTGGGTGAAAGCAAACGCATTGGTGTACTCGCTCACTGAGAATGAAAAAGAGACATGTAAATCGGTTACACTTTACAATAAGGTTCCATTAGTTATGAAAGGAATAACGTACACCTAGGTGTTTTTTTCTTACAGAGTAAATCCTGACAAACTTGTACAAGACTGAAGGGCTTTCTTCTGCATAAACACCACCTGTACATTATCACACTTATTACATGGCTACTAGCTGTAATAATTGACTAACTTTTTTTCATTAAGCTTTTAAAAAAGAAAAATGGCTGACTAGAGCATACACTAACGTACGTATTATTCAGTCACAAGATGGTGTTAAACAGCCCAAAACAGCGGTATGAAAAACAATAAGCAAATAAATATGTATATAAATATACTCACAAATACAGACAAGATTATTCAAATTATGAGTGTGTTATTAGTTTAAACAGTTGTTATTTGGGAATAACATACCGTAGAATCCCATGACTGACCAATCAGAATCTAGTATTCCAGAGGGCTGTACAATAATGTTAGATAATGCATTTACTAACATGAACTAACAATGAACAGTTCTCAGGGTCTGTATCTTAATGTGTGCGTCCGTTTGACTTCTTACCCAAAATAATGGTAGGCCCACATAGACCAAAAGAAATGTAAAAATTTCAGATTTACTCACATCATATTATATTCAGAGACATTATTTATGTTATATTAAGCCATATCTTGATACATGTATTCACCATTCCTATTCCATCTCACAAACCGAAAGTGACCAATTTGAATTCATTTAGCCTAATTTGTAAACATTTTAATAGTTGATTCGCCCTCCTGAGATATTAGCCCCCCTGTATATTTTTTTCCAATTTCAGTTTAACCGAATAAATTTTTTTCAATTCACTTTATTTTTTCAACATTTCTAACCATAATAGTTTTAGTAACTAATTTCAAATAACTGCTTTCTTGTATCTCTGCCATGATGACAGTAAAATATATTTTAATAACATAGTTTTCAAGATACTATAGTATTCCGCTTAAAGTGCAAATTAAAGGCTTAACTTGTTTAATTTTGCAAATTACGGCTAATTAGGCAAATCCTTGTATAATGATGGTTTTTCCTGTAGACAATAGAAAAAAATATTGCTTTAATAAGGGCTAATAGGGCTAATAATAATATATAACTAATAATATTGACCTAAAAAAGTTATTTAAAAATTCATAACTGCTTTTATTCTAGCTGAAACAAAACAAATAAGACTTTCTCAAGAAGAAAAAAAAACATTATAAGAAATAGTGAAAAAATTCCTTGCTCTGTAAAACATAATTTGGGAACTATTTAGTGGTAGGCCGTTATCGGTGTTAACGTGCTGCACTAATGCAAAACTCTTATCGTGTGATAAAAAAATATTGCAGTTAATCTATTGTCAAAGTTGGGTTGGGAGCTGTGGGTCTATTCTACGCAAACTATGATAACTTACTATGTCTGACAAAAAGTGCCCTTCTAAATCAGCAGGATGCCTGACTTTAACTGCAGTTCGCCCGTCACTTTAACTCATGGACATTTCATACATGCCCCCATGACAAACTGGAGTATTAGACACAAATAAGGAGTAAGGACTGGTGAAAGTGTTATGGAATTTAAAACTGCACGACTTCGGCATTTTACGATGTGTGTGTGTGTGTGTGCGTGCGCGTGTGGGGTCCTTTACTGACAGCCGCATGTGTAGATCTTTTAGAAAAATATAAGTAGTATCTGGATGCAGCCTTTATGATGCAAGCTGAGATTGCATCACTCAGCAATGCAATGAAAATATGGCGAAAGTCCTACATGACAGTACTAGTTTGATAGCAGTGTTTACTTCAATAATGCCACTAACTTTACTGTTTACTCAACAACCAATCTATTAAAAGAACAGTTTGTTTACCAGTGACAGGGTTTTGATTGGCCAGTCTATTCAGCATTGGGTTCAGAGTACCGATGAAGAAATAATGGCGGAGCTGCATGACTGACAGCCATACGAGGTGCCACAAGAAGAACCAGGACAGGACACAGCTCCTAAAACTGTCTATAAAAAAATAAACAAGAACCTTTTTATTATTCCTCTCGTTTTGATTCAATTTTTAAAATAAATGGTTTAATGATATTTTCTACAAAAACAAAATCTCTGAGGATCAAGCAACACCTTTCTCAGGGTTGTCGGTTAGCTTTATTGAGTCCGTCTCCAGCAGCTCTTCTTCTGCTCTTCTGCTTCTGTCTGAACTCGCCTCTCGCTTCGCCTCATACTCTTCAACATTGTAGCTATTTGATTTAGCACAGCTTATCCTGTAATTAAGGATTTGCATTTGATTTATTATTATGGATATGATATGAGTATTACATATACAATATGTAGTAGTAAGACTATATATGACTGCTTGTACAGCAAATGTAGAATAAACACTATATTTACTTTATTTTTAAGAAATAATATACACAGTTGAGGAAGAAATTAGCCCTCCTGTGTGTGTGTATGTATATATATATATATATATATATATATATATATATATATATATATATATATATATATATATATATGCTGTCCGCTGTTCACTATCACTTTCTTTCACGACACCCCAACCCTCTTCACTTTCGTCCACAACTCTGCCCATAGTGACTGCAGATCAATAAACTCGCTACAGTTTGACAATTATTGCAGCTGTTGGACAACATAATGTATTTTTGAGGCTTTTTAGTCAAGAATATAGTTAATGGTTAATGGTGTCCATCCAGAGAGAATCATTCAAATAGCATGGTGAATTAGTAATGGCTTCTGCTGTTTTGAGGTCAGCTGCTTAAGAAAGTAGTTCCTCATACAAAAGGGTTTTTTTAAGACTCTCCGTGTTTGATTTTCTGGTTTATATACACGATTATGCCGTTGAACTGTTGTGTAAATACAATATCACACTTATAGCAGTGTGATATGGCTGTATATCATCACTATTGGGACACAATGCACGCCTCCCATCAGTGCCAATATACAGCCATATCGCACTGCTACTCATGTGATATTGCTCATATATATATTTATATATATTAAATAATGTATAATATACTATATAATGTATTACAAACTGTATTTTGCTGTTTTGTTGTAAACAATACAAAAAATATATCTGAAACCTAAAATAAAAATCTGAAATAGAATTGTCCCTGTTATGTACAGTAATTGTGTCACCGACTCGGTCCCAGTCACTCCCCTCGCTGGCCAGCAGAGGCCACCATCTCCGGACTTTTAGCATTATATCATCTATCTACACTGATTGTGCATACACCTGATTTGAATCTGGCTAATGACCCACGTACCTCTTTAAGCCGCACTCAAACACTCAGTCTGTGCGAAGTCTTGTTCAGCCCCGACCAGCATTACTGAGTGTTATTCCCAGCCTGATCTCTTGTGTACGACTCCAGCCTGTCTCTTACTTTGCTTCGCCTTCTGCCTGCACACAACCCACGCCTGATATACGGACTCTGATTCTCTCTGCCTGCCCACGACCCACGCCTGATACACAGACTCTGATACTCGCTGCCTGCCCTCGACCCAAGCCTGATACACGGACTCTGGTTCTCGCTCATTACCCACCACTCATGCCTGGTAACTCACTCTGTGTCTGTTCATCATCATTCTTAATACCCTTACCACTACTGTGGATGTGTGTGTGCACTCCGGTGCATATTGTGTGTTTGAGTGAAGTTGTGATTAATAAATACTGCATAATGGATCCCTCCGTGTCAGTCTCCTCGTTACAAATTGTCAGAAATTAATAAGTGCAATGCATTACCAAGCATTGTGACACAAACATACTATTTTAATTATTAGTTTTTCTCAGTGGCTTTGGTGCATTTCTCAAAACACTATTGACATTTGCACAACAGTTAATGCATTTCTCTGAACAATTAGTCATTTGTGCACACCCTAGTAGCAGTTTCTCATTCCTTCCAGCAAATTGCAAATGCTTTTGGACATGCATCAATTGCTTTCATACAACTCTCTGCTGTTTTATAACATTATCATTTGCTTATTTAATATCAGTCAAAATTAACTAAACTTGTGAATGCTGAATAGTCATTCCATATAAAAGGAATAGTCCTCATTTCATTACTTGAGTCGTTACATACACAAATGTTGAAAAAGCTGTCAAAATCTGTCAAGCAAATATTGTAAAAAAAAATTTAATCTTTATTTTTCCAGAAAATGTCTTATAAATTGAACAATTTCATGAATAGTTTACCAACCTGTGTGTGTTGTAGGTTCAGTTCCAATATGTTCTGCAATATTGTATGCAGTTGTGCACAGCTCTACCCAAAGGGAATTTATGTTTGTTGTAAATAAGGGTGTATTTAGTCTTTTGCACAATGCTGTGAATAAATTAGAATTGCAAAGAGCAAATGCATTAAAAATGTGAAACATACATATTCAGTGACTTGTACTCAGATTCCTCACTAATTGCAGTGATGTCTAACTTTACCGTAGTTTTCAAATGGCTGTGCAAATAGTATATAGTGCCGTCTTGAGCATTTTCAGAAAGTGTCAACAAAATCTGCATTGCATTGAAATAAATGTACAGAGTAAAGTGTCATAATGAGAACAAGACAAAGCCATTTGACTATCTTGTTCATAAACAATGGTGTCGGGACTTTTCATCTTGATGACACTGACACTTTCATTGACATCAATACTTGTTTTGAGGAATGAACTCTCCATTTTGAGCATGTGACACACTTTTGCAGGTTATCAACTAGGTTTTGCAGTTTGTTCTAATTGTTTTGAGAAATGCATGAACTGTTGTGCAAATGCAAATAGTGTTGTGAGAAATGCACCAAAACCACTGAGAAAAACTGTAATAATTAATGACAATTCAAAGGAACAAAAATATTTTTTTTAAAAGGGAAACATTTAACAAACCTCAAACTGCAGCGTGTGGTCAGAACAGTTTGACTCACCCATACTGGTAGTCCTGTGGGATGGGATATGGAATGTGTGATTTTGGCATAAGGAAGAGAGTCCGGATGAGATGAATGAGGTTACAGGCTGAGAGGAAGAGGAATGAAGAGCGAAGAGAGACACCTTTCTCATAAAGCACCTTCAGAAATGAATATACAGAGTGTCAGATAGACAGATGGATAGAAGATAGATAGATAGATAGATAGATAGATAGATAGATAGATAGATAGATAGATAGATAGATAGATAGATAGATAGATAGATAGATAGATAGATAGATGGATGGATGGATGGATGGATGGATGGATGGATGGATGGATGGATGGATGGATGGATGGATGGATGGATGGAATGACGGATAGATAGATAGATAGATAGATAGATAGATAGATAGATAGATAGATAGATAGATAGATAGATAGATAGATAGATAGATAGATAGATAGATAGATAGATAGATAGATAGATAGATAGATAGATAGATAGATAGATAGATAGATAGATAGTAAATCCTTACTTTAATGATAAGAAAGATAACTGATGACGAGTCAAAGGCCCCATTATAAACTGTGATAATAGTTGATCTATGAGAACCAAAAAGGTTCCCCACCTGTAATGAGAACAAATATAAGATCAGTTTATCATACCCTTGTTGTAATGAATGTATGAATTAATATCATACATGAGCATACCTGCATATTTGTCATTAGAAATAAAATGCCGCCCACAGCTATGAAGGACAGAGCAGGAAAAAGCAGCACAGATAGAGCTGTTTGAGGAAAAAAAAAAGAAAAAATTAAACATCAAACCGACATGTGTCATGCGTGATTATTAGGAAAACTTTAAGTCTGACTTTACCTTTATTGGAAAATGCCACAATTAATGTGCCGGTGGTATAAAGAAATCTACAAAACAATGATGATACAATTGGTATTGGTTTAAAATGTGATTTAAAATCATGCAAAAATGATAACCCAGAGTCATTATTGCTGCATATACAGTTCTGGAGAATTTTTATTTTTTTTTGCAGTTTTTGTTTATCCGAATCCACCAGAGGCTGCTCTGTACGCTTTTTGAGGTCCCAAATTTCTCTTGCGAGTGCCATTCATACCTGCTGTTTTTGCGTAAATCCACCAGAGGCTGCTGTTGACTGACTGACTGACCAATCTTCCACCCACTTCCCTAAACCCAACTGATAATGTTTTCAAAAGAAATCCAAAAATAAATTTACAACATTTTCAGATCTTACCACATTCTCACCCTGTTATTTACTTGTTTATTAATTTTTTTTGCCTTTTGTTTTATCTGCTTTCTGAACCATTCTTCACCAGACCTGAACCCTGTTGTCGAGGTCAACTCCTCTCTGCGTCTCAAGTCCGCCGATGTACATGGCGAACAACTGGGCAAACTGGTAACAGCGAAAAAGTCGTCCACATGGAGGTAAGCGGTCAGCTGGTTTCACGAAAAGAAACAGATACCGCCTTTGTCGTTTGTTTTAAAGATGAAATGCAGCCATATGTTCTGTAGCTCTGGCTACAAAATTTGCACTCTCCAGAAATATATACAGGGGCACATTTTCACAATGCGCCTTTGTTGAAAAATGTACTCACTCTCAAGCTACTCTAAAACACTACTAGTTAACTATACTGTAGGAGTAAACTTACAAAACACTTGCAGTAAAACACTAAAGAGTTTTAGCTAACTTAAGAGTTTAGTTAAACTCTTAGTTAAACCAGGACCCCTTTTTGAATTGCTGAATCGTGTCTCTTCAATTGTAAGTCGCTTAACAAAAGTGTCTGCTAAATGTAAATATATTATTACATTATTAATTTACATTTAGATTATTTATGTACACAAATGCTTAAAGAAACATGACAGTATAAAACTAATAAACTAAGAGTTTAATGAGAATATACTTTCACAAACGAACTACTTACAACAAGCATTACAAAAGGAAATTACTTGTATTACAAATGAAAAACTTAATTGTGGAATATCTGCGCATGTACAGTTTTACAATTTTAGACTTATTGCCTATTTATATATATTTATTACCTAAAATATATTTATATATACTAAATAGTGGGCATATTTAGTACAACACAATGTCTATTGGTAACACTTTACAATAAGGTTCATTAGTTAATGCATTTACTAACATGAACTAATCATAAACAACACATGTACAGCATTTATTAATCATAATTGAACATTTACTAATGCATTATTAACATCCAAGTCCATGCTTGTTAACATTAGTTAATGCACCATGAGTTAACATGAACTAACAATGAACAACTGTATTTTCATTAACTAACGTTAACTAACATGAACAAATACAGTAGCAGATGTATTGTTCATTGTTTGTTCATGTTAGTAAATCCATTAATTAACATTAACTAATGAACCTTATTGTAAAGTGTGACCTGTCTATTTTTAACTTTGGCGACGTGCTTCTTTTTAAAAATCGTACTGTTTCATTTCGCATTAGCCACTTTTCTGACAATAAGCGAAATAGTTACATTTCATTTTTAGTCTCAAGCAGTTTGCAAGTAGTACACTTACAAGTATACTACTTGTACATAGATGTAAGTACAAAATGAAGTATATAAGCATACTGCTTTTTTGTAAGGAACATCAGCTTACATTTGCTAATATTTATGGTAATCTCAACAAATTTTACTTGTGAGCTGTTTTTTAATGGATGCAATCCACAAAGCCCTTTTTTTGGAGTCCAGTCAAACGCCCACGATGAGTTCCACTATCTGCTTACAGCACACCCCACTCACAATCTGATAAACTTCCTGTCTCGGTGCACTTAACAGAGACACAGCAATTCGGTTAATTCTTCCTGACCTGTTTTACACACTACATGCAGTGTGCAAGTTAACATTAGATCCTCCCTGAAGGATGTCAAAACAACTCCGTCCTTTGATTAGTGAGAAATAGTTTGCTCTGATCTTCATCTTAAATAATAGCATTAATTATTTAAATAACAGCTCATATAAATATATATTTGACTACCCTTATAATGGTTCATACCACTGTGAAAGTCCAAATGAAAAAAAAAAACATTTAGTCAGTGGTTTATATATGTATATATATATATATATATATATATATATATATATATATATATATATATATATATATATATATATATATATATGACCAGTATTAAATTAATGTTAAAAATAATGTGCTTCTAAAAGTAAAGTTTCTTAAAGAGTAAACAGAACACTGCTACTTAAATGTAAATTAACATATAGCTTTATCATCAAAACCTGGAAATGTTCCTTTGACCACATAAATATAGTCTATATGCCATCATATTCATATATAAACTATGTGTCACCTACTCGATCCCAGTTATTCCCCTCGCTGGCCAGCAGAGGCCGCCATCTCCGGACTTCTAGCATTACATCATCCACTTACGCTGATTGTGCACACACCTGATCTGAATCTAGTTAACGACCCACGTACCCCTTATAAGCCGCACTCAAACACTCAGTCAGTGCGAAGTCTTGTTTAGCCCCGGCCAGCATTACTGAGCGTTAGTCCCTGCCTGATCTCTTGTGTACAACTCCAGCCCGTTTCTGACTCTGCTTCGCCTTCTGCCTGCCCACGACCCAAGCCTAATATACGGACTCTGATACTCGGTGCCTGCCCTTGACCCAAGCCTGATACACGGACTCTGATTCTCGCAGCCTGCCTTTGACCCATGCCTGGTAAATCACTCTGTGTCTGTTTGCCGCCAGCCTTGAAACCTTTCATACTACTGTTGATGTGTGTTTGCACCTTGGTGCATATTGTGTGTTTGAGTGAGAGCTTGATTAATAAATACTGCATAATGGATCCCTCCGTGTCAGTCTCCCCGTTACACTATGTTTGATACAATTTGAAATAGATGTTGCATGTGTATATATGACTTTCTATATCTTTAAAATCTAAACATTGACTTGCAATTTAAACATAAGGTTTGGATTTACATAAAATGTACATTTTTACATTAACATTTATATTAGAAATATCTGCTCACTGCACGTTAAAGCAGGCTGTGTGTTATAGAAGCAAGTCATTAAACCACCTGTCAACATTGAGATATTAAAATACGGGATACGGTCCCAACAACAGTTTCAAATATGGACAGGAGATTAGCTTCAAATGATAACATACATAAACATTGGAAAATACAATAAAAAGGTTTAGCCTATAAAAAATAAATTTACTGATCACATCAGTGTTATGTAACCCTGTTAAAGGTTTAAAAGTGTGTTAATTTTTTAATTTAACTATTCAGCGATTCCTCCGGTTTCCCCCACAAGTCCAATGACATGCGCTAGGTGAATTGGGTAGGCTAAATTGTCCGTAGTGTATAAGTGTAAATGCAAGTGTGTATGGATGTTTCCCAGTGATGGGTTGCAGCTGGAAGGGCATCCGCTGAGTAAAACATATGGCGGATAAGTTGGCGGTTCATTCCACTGTGGTGACCCCAGATTAAGGGACTAAGCCGAAAAGAAAATGAATGAATGTATTCAGCGATTCTTTTGCTTACCACTAAGGAAACCTGCGTACCACTACTGGTACACGTACCACAGTTTGGGAACAACTGGTCTAGAGCACCTATAAAACACTTTTTAGTACAATAGGTGCATACAGCCTTAAATTAAAGCCAATTTAGTCAAATAGTTATTATTTTAATACACTCATACAATGATGTTTGCAGTTTGTTCAAACTACTTATTTAAAATAAGCTGAAAAAACAATTCTTAAGGTTTTTGGGGGACAACTTAATTGTGTTATGTTCCATGCACTTTCATTTGTAAAAAGCTAATTAACTTAGGAATATTAGAATTTTTTTACACCATTTTATATAAATTTACTGACATTACTAAGGCAAATAGTTTTAATAGTCAAAAACAAAAATATTTAAACAAAACATCTTATATCTTCATAATAAAATAAACATGAGTGTTAAAGAGACTCTTAAACTTGATGAATAAATGTTACAAAGAGTGCAATGGTAAAAGTAGATCAACATATGTAAGATGTGAATAATAATGATACAGAAAACCTCAAACTAATAATAAATAATGAATAAATAAATAAAACAAATTATGAGAATCAAATCTGAGCTTAGTAAGGGAACTAACCATCATTGGTGAGCTCCATTGGAAATGACAAACTAACACTCTCAGCTTATTGCCATAGCTTACAAGGCGCAGGATCAGCAGCTACATTCTAATAAAACTATATCGCTATATACCGAAACTTCCTACTGAAACTACTTTTTATCGTTATTGACAATGGTGTTTGGTCAATATATACCGATACCGATTTATTGCCCAGCCCTAGTACTGAATACATTAATTATCCCTCAAAACCATGATAATTTAAATAAGTTTGTTAAATAACTCAGAAGTAATTGATTTAATTTTAAATCGGAATTTGAATTTTGAATTTAAATTTTGAATTTGAATTAGAATTTTGAATTTCAATTTAAATTTCAATTTTAAATTTCAATTTCAATTTCAATTTCAATTTGAGTTTGAATTTTAAATTTAAAATTTTGAATTTGAATTTAAAATATAAAACTTTACATTTTTATTTTTTTTTTTTAAATTTTAAATTTTGAATTTTAAATTTTAAATTTTGAATTTTAATTTGAATTTGAACTTTGAATTTGAATTTTGAATTTGGCTCAATGAAGCATGTACTATCAATGCTATCTCACGGCAATTTGTAACTTTTTTATTTGGTAGCTAACTTGTATGAATTTGTACAATCTCATTCCCATAGTTTAGTATGATTTGCTCATCCTCCAATGGTGATTGGGTTTAGGGGTGGGATTTGGGCCACGCCTCCTTTTAAAAATTGTACATTTTCATACGACTGAATTTGTACGAATTAGCCACTTAACTGACAAAACGAAAAAGTTACATTTTCCTTGTGAGATCAGGTTGATAATACATAAAGTAATATAATCCCAAAAAATAGTCAATGTATACTTCGCACATTGCCTCTTTAGCAAGAACTCACATAGCCAAAAGTCGTGTTGCCATTGTGCCAAAGTGGTCATAGAGGAAACCATTGGGCAGAGTGAGAAAGTTGTTCATGAAGGAGGCCACGGTAAAGACCAATGAGAAATGCTCATCTTGCAGACCGCAGTCTAAAGAGAAAAGCAGACAAAAATTAAGGCATTAAAGGAAGTGAACCATCAAATGTATTAAAAGACCTCACCTGAGCTGAATTCTCCACCAGCATCTGTCGCGTTGCTGCACAGGTCGCCGAAGTAACCATCTGTCTTGAGGACAAACACAAGAGACGCCCAACCAAACACGACCCCAGCGAAGCACAAACACTCTAGAAGTCCAGTTGCCAGAGTCAGTTTGTATCTTACAACCTTCCCCGATGATCCTTTGTATGCCATCATCCTCTTTATTAGGGTCACTTCTAAAACTATCCACTTGTGTAGGAATGTAGAAAGTATATGCTTGCTTTACTTTCTTTTTCAAATAATTTAAATTTTTGAATCCATTGCGTTTCTAAATTAAATTGTGATACACTCCACCTGTTTTTGTCACCGCTTGCTCACTTTTGATCAGAAACGCACCATGCATGCCAGTTATGTGGTGGTCGAGATAAAGCTTTCCACGTGTTTGAGCTAACTTGAAGTTGTGCATGCTCCTCTCAAGGGAGGGAGTTGTTGTAGATCTGCTGGTGAAAACAACATGACACAACATGCGTCTTCAGCTTTTTGTGCGATGATATTCATCAATGTTTTTTGTCAGCATCTTTGTATGATGCTGTTGTTTGAGTTTGAGGACGTATCCCTAAAAAATGTTTACCCTATAAAGTGGCACGTGTGTCTGGTGTTTATGAAGAGCTGCAAAAAGAGACAGAGAAAGTACTGTTATAGGGTAGTTGTCAAGAGTTTGGAAACATTATTATTTTTTATAAATGGTAAATGATTTTTTATATATGAAAAATTATATAGTTTATAATTTAATAATCTCTTATTTTTACCACGGCTAAAACTGAATTACTGTTACTATTGAACATAACTGTTTTTTAATTTAATTTAAAGGGCACATATTTTACCTCTGTTTACAAGATGTAAGTCTTTGGTGTGTGTAATGTGTCTGTAAAGTTTCAGCTCAAAATACCCATCAGATTATTATTATTGCCTCCAGAATCTGCTAATTGTGGTATCTGAGTACAGTGTAGCTGTTTTTGAAGCCTGTGGCTTTAAATTCTAATGAGCTGCCTCTCCCTGCTCAACGTTCCCACGTATGTCTGCTTCTCATCATGTGTTATGTCAGATAAACAGCAGTCAGTGATAGAGACAGACTCGAATGAAGCTGAAATACAGCTCTTAAGTCAAAAATACCAAGTTTATTTGATGTATTTGTGGTATAATACGTAATTACAAACTTATCTTGTGTGCAAATACTGTGTTGTTATATTTATATTACTATGGCTTTACATTTGAATTACATTGTAGTTACATCCAAAATAATATTTACAAATGTAAATGTTTCGTAATGTATTGCATGTGCAGTTTTTAGTTATTTTTAGTTGTATACAAAAATATACACAGTTCACATGTAAATACAAACTTAATGTCATTACATTGTAACAGCATTGCAAACACATCCAAGATAATAGTTATAAACTTAAATGTACATGTATATTTCATGTACAGTATTTGTATATTTATATGTAACTATACACAGTAAATATGTAATTAGAAATGTTTAGCTGGGATGTAACTACAATATCTTTACAATATAAATACTATAAAAAAACATTGTAATTGCATTGTTACAACATTGTAATTACATCTAGGATAGGATTGTAATTGTGTTTTTGTATATTTCATGTACAGTATTTGTGTATTTAAACAAAAACATCTACAAGCTTGTAGTTACAAACTTTTGATTAGGATGTAATCATATTGTAATAACATTGTAATAACATTGTAATTACAGTGTTAGAACATTGTAATTTCTTCAATATAATTGTAAATTTCTTTGCATATTTCATGTACAGTGTTTGTGTATTTAAACAAATATACACAATAAATATGTACATTACATTGTTATTACATTGTAACTAAATTGTTAAAACATGATAATTACATTGTTATAACATTGCAATTACATTGTAAGTACATCTACAATAGTATTGCAAATAATTCTGTATATTCCATGTAGTTTTTGTGTACTTAAAAATAAATTTACACAGTAAATATAGAATTACTATCTTTTATTTTGCATGTAATTATATAGTCATAACATTATAATTACTATGTAATAATATTGTAATTACAGTGTTATAACATTGTAATTAAATGCATGAAAGTATAGTATAGGTTTTTGTATATTTCAAGTGCAGTATTTGTGTATTTAAACAAATATACACAATGAATGTTATTTCCATCTCTTATTTTGGATGTAATTACATCGTTATAACAGTGTAATTACATTGTTATAACATTGTGATCACATCTACGATAGTATTTCCAATGTGTTTTTGTATGTTTCATGTGCAGTATTTGTGTATTTAAACATAAATATACACAGTCATAATGCAATTACAATCTTTTTGGGTGTAATTACATTGTCATTACATTGTAAATACATTGTTATAACATATTTGGATTGTTGTAACATTGCAACTACATTGTTATAACATTGTAAGTACATCTACGAAAGTATCATAAATAATTCATTGTATATTTCATGCACAGTATTTGTGTATTTAAACATAAAAATACACAGTAAATATTTAATTGCAATTTTTTATTTTGGATGTATTTACATTGTCACTACATTATTATTACTATGTAATAACATCTTAATTCCATTGTTATAACATTGTAATTAAATCTACGAAAGTATTTTAAATGTTTTTGTATGTTTCATGTGCAGTATTAGTGTGTTTAAACATAAATATATGCAATAAATATGCAATTACAATTTTTTATTTTGGATGTAATTACACCTAGGATAGTAATGTAAATGTGTATTTGTATTTTTCATCTACAGTATTTGTGTATTTAAACAAAAACATCCAGAAAGTTGTAATTCCAAACTTTTAATGTGGATGTAATTACATTGTTATGATATTGTAAGTACATCTACAATAGTATTGTAAGTTGTTTTTGTATATTATTATGTACAGTATTTGTGTAATATACACAGTTAATATGTAATTACAATCTTTTATTTTGGATTTAATTACATTGTCATTACATTATAACTACTATAATACATTGTATTTACATTGTTGTAACATTGTAATTGCATCTTGATTGTATTGTAAATGTCATTTTGTATAGTGCATGTGCAGTATTGTTTTATATTGTCTATTGAAGAATACAATTGCAAAAATATATAGAAATGACTTAAACTGGAGATTTTAGTAGTTTTCAGAAATCGTAATTTTACATTGAGTTTTGAAGATTTCAATTGCAAAAAAATTTAAATATAAGACTTTTAAGAGATAGTGGCAAATTTCCCCATCCAGAGATTTAGCATAATTGTACAACTCCTTATCTGCACTGAATGATTTTTACAGTGATTAAAGAGATCATTTTCAAGACAATACGTTCTGCATGAAATTTGTACAAAATCAATGCTGAAATCAAAGAAAAACAGGAGATAGATTTTTAATGTTTAGTAGAACTGAATGAGATGACAAAAGCTGACTTAAACTTGCTCAAAAAAACGATGTTGCTGTCAAATGTACTTTACAGTTTAATGATAAAGAGATTCATCGAATAGGCCTACTGACAGAAGGTTTGTGAAGAAATTTCATGCTCCATTTTAAAACTAATTTGTAGCATTTTCAAATTACAAAATAGAGTATTTTATTTTGATACATTAGTGGCAGCTTTATTTTGTAGTTTATTTTGATACACTTAAAATGGAAGTATTTGGTATTTTATTTTAAAATACATTTCAATGTATTTTTCTAAATCCCTGCTAATAAAAAACTAAATTGTTTGACAGACATGTAAACTATGTAATGTGCTGTGTTGTTTAGGCTATAATGAAAGACTAGAAGTACCCAAAATTAATACTTGCTCCCTTGTTTATAAAGTAAAAAGAATGACACTGTCAGGCATAAAATATACAGTCTTACGAGGACCCCGAATTTTGGATTATGCCGATGAAGGGGTTTATTTTCTAATAATGACATCCCCTTACATAATTGTGATTTAGCAGTTAAGACTTGACGCAGTAGTGTTTGGTTTTCTTGAAATGTGACATTAGGGTAAAACTGGGGTTGTTGATCACTGATGATGGCACACATGCGCGCGCACTGCGTGGACAGTTCACTAATCCAGATTATCATGTCTGCGCGCTCTAATCTCTCAGACAAGAACAACAATTTACCTTGGCCACCGTTTCTGCGGATAATGTTAAAGATATAACAGATACAAGAGACATCCGAGATAATGACAAAAAACGTCACATGAAAATAAAGCCATCTGACTTTAAATGGATAGGCCTACGAAACTTCTTGTCTTTCCGAGTCTTATCAAAGTCAGTCAGCATCAGTCAAGTAATCTAGCTGTAGTTACATTTATTTATTACTCCGTTTTGTTCTGTTCTGGTTATAGTCTACTTACGACAGTCTTTTCGCGCTGAAGTGAACGGCGGGATTGCTGAAGCGCTGTCGGTTCCCGTTTTGTGCTGAAGAACAGCACTGAAACTGTGCACGTGTGTGCGCGTTCATGAGCCTGCTAATTACTCAAAGGTAATCACAACAGAACAAGAACATGATGACACTTCATGATTGTATACATGAAAAATTTTAGATTTATCAACACCAGCCCACGCTAATTAGAATATTATCTTAAAATAAATTAGTTAAATCGGATATATTTGTTTACACATTATACAGTAGTTAGGCTACATTTGCATTAAGCAAACATAAACAGATCTCTCAAATAATAATTCATCGTTTAAAGTTAGATTTGAAAAATATATTTTAAAAAGTAGTAACAAATTTAGTTACCTTTTTAAGTGAATTATGATGACTTTTTCCCAACTTATTTATGCAATATATACAGTAGTAGTAGGCTATCTTGGTTTGTTGTGATTATATAGTATTTGCTGAAGGTTCATTGTCCCTTAGTTTTAAAAAGAAAAAAATGCTTAATTTAAAGCAGAAAGGCAAGAGATGCTCAACATTTGAAAACAAAGTCATTGTGTAATATGATGTGCTGGCAGTTCCTGACTTACATCTAGTTGAACAGATCTTGTCTTGTGGCCGTCTGGCTCCCTCTTGTGGACTGACATGGCTCTGTGCGTATGTTTTTTATCAATTGTCACATGCAATAACTGAACATAAACATAATAGGCAGAGAAAAATGCTCATTGTAGAAGAAAACTGCAGAGGTTTTTGCATCTGAACTCTTCATATGTTCTCAAAAAAAAATCTTAGCATCTGAACTATTATAATGATTATAATAACTCTGTGATGAAGTAAATTCTACATGAAAAGCATGTAATTTCTACGTTAAATAATTCAGTGTAAGAATAAAAAGACAACTTTAATTCACTATTACTCAACTAAAGTTGTAGAAAATGCTAATGTTTTCAAAAATATATAATAAACGTAAACCCTATTTTACTACTTTCTGATACTGGTGTTAGCATCATACACTGGGGCATTTTTATTATCCATACTCATATATCCACCTTTATTACACTGACACACAAACATGCACTGACTTACAATTTACGTGTACCAACTATGGTCCTTTATGCTTATAAAAAATATATGTACCTGTTAGATATTTTTACAAACTATGTAATACTGAATTAATTCACATTATAAAAATGATAATATAGTGCTCATCATAAATGAGTACACCTTCTTTTAAAAAAGGATATTTTGATAATTTCTCAGTGAATATATCTAATCATTGTTGGTGCATTTAAATAAAACAGTTTATTAAAAAGGTATATCCATCAAAGTAAGAGTTTGTTCACCTGACACATTTAGGAAAAACAGATAATACACTTTAATTCAAACCAGTTATTGCAACCGACAAAAAAAGGCACAATCTACAGAATTCGTATGATATTTGATATTTCTTATATTCCTCTTGAGTTTTTCTGTTTAATATAGTTGTATTAATTATGTTTCTTTAACAACTTAATTTGTGTGCACTCATTTTTGGACTGTAACCTTAAGCCTTTTTGTTATTGTTCTTGAATTGTCTCCAGTTTTGTCTTTGGCACTGACTAATATAATGTATATGCACAAATATATTATTGTGAAGCATCCTATATATTAGTTTAAAAGAGAGACCTGTGAGGGGTATACTCATTTATGCTAAACACTACATAATAGCATGTATATATCACTGTATATAATGGGATTTAGAAATCCTATGTCATGATCAAATCGGGATTTTCATCTTTAAAAAGTGGTTTGTGTCCTAGCAGCAGATCAGATTTTTTTTAAATAACTAGATGGTTTGTTTAGTTGCAGGCCTATTGACCGTTTTGAGGGATGTAAACAAAAGCACATGGCCCCAAGGTGTTTCCTGTTTTACATTTCTATAGCTTCTGAGAATCCAAAAAGTGCCACATATTGATACATAATGTAAAGATAGCTGTTTTAACATTAGGTTATGATTGAATTACCTCTTGTTACAGTTGAAATCGTTTGATAACAAACAAGAAATGTTCATGGCCAAATACATGACCACATTAAAATGATCTGCTTCTTTGACATAAAATGCTTTTTTCAATGTAACAAATCGTATTTAATAAATATAAAGCAAATAGCATATGCTTGTTCAGCATGTCAATCCAAAGTTGCAGAAATCTTCACAAATTCACCCCACAATTCCACTAGCTTGACGTTTTTCTAGTGTGCCAGTACTAGCTGAGGCCACACTGTAGTATCCTCTGCTAGACACTAGATGGAGCCAAAAGAAGCCGAAGCATTCATCTAATGACTCACCTGCTCTGCGCAACACAATGACTCATCTGTCGTGCACCCTGCAGAGTTTGATCCATTATTTCATTCACTGCCACAGATGACAGATGTAAACATCCTGCAACAGATCCCAACATCTCTGCTTTCTCGTCTTGTCAAACTGTGCATCAATGATTTGTTTTTTGGCAGCTATATGTGTCAGCCTTTGAGTTTGAGTTCATGCTGTGATATAAATATAAACCTTTTCAAACTTCAGCAGACATATGTCACCAGCTAGAACCCTCTTCTGTCTTTGGATGAGGTTGTTGAAAGTTTTAATATTGCTTGAGAGCTAACTTTTGTTTAATCCTAGTGCCTCGTACATCTGTCCTTTTTTAAAAAACATTTTCAGTCTTGTTAAAGTTCATTCATTCATTCATTTGTTTTTTTTTTTCGGCTTAGTCCCTTTTAATAATCAGGGGTCGCCATAGTGGAATGAACTGCCAACTTATCCAGCATATGCTTTAAGCAGCGGATACCCTTCCAGCTGCAACCCATCACTGGAAAACATCCATACACACTCATTCACACGCATACACTACAGACAATTTAGCTTACCCATTTCACCTATACCACATGTTTTTGGACTGGTGGGGGAAACCGGAGCACCCGGAGGAAACCCACGTGAACACGGGGAGAACATGCAAACTCCACACAGAAATGCCAACTGACATAGCTCGGACTCAAACCAGCGACCTTCTTGCTGTGAGGCAATTGAGCTATACCCACTGTGCCACCGTGCTGCCATGTTAAAGTTCAAAAGTGTAAATTTTGTCATCACTTACTCACTTTATACTTGTTCCATACTTATTTTGGGTTTTTCTTTCTTGTAGTGAACACCAAAGAGGATATTTTGAAGATGATGAAAACCTTTCCAACATTCTTCAAAGTATCTTTCTTTGTGTTCAACAGCAACAGATACTCATAAGGGATTTGTACCATTGAGTAAATTGTACATTTTCATTTCTGTGCTACATCTTAACTTTATACAGCAGAACTCATTTCAGATTCTCCACTCAATGATAAAAGAAACCGTGAGTGCTCGAAACCAAGAACATTTGAAGGCCTCTGTTGTCCTGCCAGTACTTGCTTATTTGTCTTGTCAGTCCTTGAAATGGATTCCAACCTGACCTTATCTGCCGTTTAATTGTGGCATTCTGAGAGAGCACTGGGAGCTATTCGAAGCAGGCACAAGATAAACAATAGACCCAAATGGACATCCTGCAGTTCAAAGGTTTGGGGTTGGTAGGATTTAATGCTAACTAAGGCAGCATTTGTTCCAATAAAACACAGAATAACGCTGAAATAAAACATAATTTAAAACGTATTACCATTTTAAATGTTTCTACATTTCAAACTGTAATGATTCATTTAATAGACATCTAATGTTTTGTCTGTGATGGTCAAAATATCATTCAGAAATTAATCTAATTTGCCGCTTGAGGTATATTTACGAGCATGGAAAAAATTTAGTTGTGCTACTTCATATTTAACAGCATTCATTTGAAAACATTACACACAAAAAATGTTGGTTTAATCTTTAATCTTTAATCTAACGATTGGTTTGTCTCTATTTTACCTTATTTCACTGGGTTGAACTCACATTCTTTAAAATGTAATTATCACTTTTGATCAGTCTAATCTAAAAACCGTCACAGTTTTAGGGTTAAGACAAATTAATAAAGGCTTTTCATATTTTTATTAGTTCCTTGAACTGGTTTTTGCTGTTTATTCTGATGAATCACTTATCCAATGAGTACCTACACAATATTTAAGCCACCCCTGAGAACTTTTTGTTTTATTTTGGATTCTGATGCAAAACTTATCTTTACTTAGTATTATTTCTTTAAAATATACTGTACAATGAATTACTAACCCAAATGTTTAATGGTATGTTTTGTGACGTTAAAGGCTACAACTGGAGTATAATTAATGCATATCATTCATATATATCATTCATTTATTTATTCATTTTCTTTTCGGCCTAATCTCTTTATTAATCTGGGGTTGTCACAGCAGAATGAACCGCCAACTTATCTAGCACGTTTTTACCACAGCGGATTCTCTTCTATCCACAACCCATCACTGGGAAAAGAATTCTGTTTATTATATATATATATATATATATATATATATATATATATATATATATATATATATATATATATATATATATATATATATATACAGTCCTCAGCTACTGTATATAAGTACACCCCTACAAATCTCTCATTTAAAATAAAATTTTCTACAGGATGCTTTACATTACATTATATTTGAGCATATACATTAGTTTAGTCGGTACTGAAGCCAAATCTGGAGCTAATATAACAAAATGACTCCTTGTAACGGTTCAAAAATTTGTAGTCTAAATTCATTTGTAAGGGAAAAGTATTAAATAATTATTTTTTAAAATAGCAAAAAAATTAAGTGAAACCCAAAATGGTAACACTTTATAATAACTACACACTATAAATCATTTATTAAGCATTAACATCTAGTGAATTCATAATCTGTTAAGCAATAACTCCACATTAATAAAAGTTAGTAAGCAGTTTATAACTGCAGCTAAATGAGATTTATAAGAGATTTATAAAGCATAAATAGTCCTCACTTTAGGTCACAAAACTGGATGAATTTAAGTTAAGAAAGCGTTTATTAACATACATATTAACCATTATTATATGTCTGAATAATAAAAACTATAAATGTTAATTTGAATAGTTTATTAATCATTTACTAACTCATTCTG